TCCCATGCAGTGCCTCAGATATATCCGAATGAACAGGAGTTTAGGATTATGATGAATTAGCATCTTTAAGAATGAAATATTCATTTTCTGACAGAGTACACCCAGAGCCCTCAGGTGTCAAAATGCAGACTGAGAAGTCCCGTGCACTTTCACACCTACGTGTGGCCCTTACTATAGCTTGAAAGTAGGAATTATTATCCCAGTTTTATAACTGAAGAAAGTAAAATCCAGAGAGGTTTGAAGTAATTTGCCCAGAGTAGCCCAGCCAGTGCCTAGAGATTTTTAAACACAGTAGCTTTCTATTATACCCTAGGAAAACTTAAAAAAAAAATCCATAAAACACATCAAGACTGTACTCTTTTAAAAATTCTGACTATTCGCAACCTCAGATTCATTTCTTGATATTTATCCACCATAATTGAGCCAAAAAGTAAAGTTCATGTCGCATTGGGTTACCTTAAGTCTTAAGAGACAGAATAAATAAGATTCAGTAAGATGAGAAAACTTGATATAATGAAGAAGATTCCACACCATTTTCCCTTGTTTAAATATGCATGGTTTTTGCCTAGTTTCCGCTTTACCAGCTAAAAGGATCGTTAAGATGTTAATCTTTCATATAAAGAGGTGTAAAATGAGTAGGTTCAAAACTACACACAAGAAAAACAAAAGCCTAAGCAAACCAAAGCATGTCTTTCAACAGAAACAGACACCACAGGCAAATGCTCTTAACAAATAATAGACAGGCCTTTTTTGAATATTTTCAGAACAAAAATTTAAAAGAGATCACAAAAATAAGACAAAACAATTTTATAAATCCTTTATTTAAAAAGCATTGATTATTGCAGCTTTTAAAATTTGGTAGGGCTTAATGTAAGTTTTTAAGCCTCTAGATGAATGTCTTAATTTAAGATGTTCAATGAAACCCATTTGTTTTAGGGGTGCACTGGTAGAAATTGGAAATAAGCTTCTTAGTAGACTAGTTAGGCTCTCTCTTTTACATACATATTTAAAAATAAAATATTTTCCAAAGACTAATACCAAGCACTATAAATAATATTCTATACCAATTAATTTCATAACATTAGTAAGATTTATTATAGTATAGCATACACACACACACACACACACAGTACCTTGATTGCTTTAAAAATGGTTTTGGGTTTTGCAGTTTTTTCTGTAATACAGTGAAAAGCACAGATATCTATTTTATAGTGATCAAATCTCACCCACACATAAGTTCTTCATACTCCACTTACTGTGACCATAGAATGAAAAAGGCTTAAAATTGTTCTTAATGTGAATTAAACATACACACAACTAATGATGACGCCTCCAAGAACAGGGAGCTAAGGCCTTTAGGCTGAGCTCTTCCACTGAACGGTTTAATTAGAGTGATGTGGGGGCGGGGCGGCTCTCTTCCACAGGCCACAATGAAAGCACAGGCACCAGTTAAGGGGAAAATGCCACTGTCTATATAATCACTTTGGTGCATTTTTGTCAAAAGGCCCAATTAGCTCCCTTTCTCACCTGCTAGGGCTTGGTAAAAATCAAGCTAGGTAAAAGATTAAGATAAATAATCTTTTTAAGAATTCTATTTAAAAATTATATTGCTCGAAAACCTGAGACTCATTGCTTTGGGGGTATATTGGTGTATATTCCCTATTGAATTTGGTCTATATTCCAACCCACCTCTCCCTCAGAAACACAATCTACAGGAAAAGAAAAAAGATAAAAACTACATCTAGTGGTATAACACACAATAAACCTCTCAATAATAAGAAATAGAACAGGTACTAGGCAGCTGTCCTACCAAGTACAGGCCCTTTCATATAGGGTTCAAGTTTTTATTAGAAGGAACAAAAGAGATAATTTCCCTCGTCCTGCCACATGTTGTCCTACCAGGGTGTACTGAGAATACTTAAGCCTAAAATTCTTATACGTATATATACCTGCAAAAAATGTATTTAGCTCCTACTTTATATACACAATGTCTCCCTTTGGATGGTAGCCCAAAAAGAAATCTAAAAAGCCATAACCTGGATAATACATTATTGGAAAGAAAATCAGGCAAAGGTACACGTATTATGGCTTCCATTAGATACTGAAAAAGAAAAAAAAAAACAAGAAAATGGAAAGGAGAAGAGAAGAGAAGAGAAGAGAAGAGAAGAGAAGAGAAGAGAAGAGAAGAGAGAGAAGAGGAGAAGAGAAGAGGAGAAAAGAAGAAAAGAAGGAAAGAAAGTGTAATGAACTTAACTATATTCCCCCCCAGCAGCCAGAGGGACTGCCACCTTCCTCCCCCATGAGTAGATTTCCATCTCCAGGGGGGGTTGCCTTTGGAGATTCCTAATGAAACAATGAGGTAGGAAGCAAGGAAAAATGAAAGGCTTAGGATCCCCCGACAAGGTAACCATTTTCTCCGCTCTGGGTTTTGTAGGCCATCTTGTTCCTATAAACGCCAAGATGTCTCAATTTTAACCAAGTTGTGACAGTAAAGCCAATACCCACTAGCCGTTTTTGAAATCAGTGGCCTTTAGTCAAATGACCAGCAGCAAAAAATCTGTCAGACAAACAGTTAATTGATGCAAATGAAGAGTCACCATCACTGCAGCGCAATGTTACAGGAAAAAGAATAATGGACAGTACTTTAAAGGCCAGTAACAGTGTTCGATTAAAAAATAGTTAATCCATAATTTGCTCTCATTATAAAGGCTAATCTTATTTTTGGTCCATTGAAATCACTAAAAAAGCAAAAGATGAGAGCTTGATAAAGAAGAAGCACACACGGGGGGGTGGGGTGGGGTGGGGAGACTGTCATTTGTGTCCAAGGGTTTCACGCAACATTTAGGGCAAAAGCCTTTGTTCCTCCGCCTCGGAAGGGAGTGGGTGGGTGAGTGATGGAGAGATCAGACACGGCTGCCCCGGCCCTCCACACCCAGCTCTCTCGCGCATGCGCGAGGCCAAGACAAAGGAATAGGTAATTACAGTCCCGATTCATTCATTTTGCCCACAGCACTGGGGATCTGTTAGCCCAGGCTGTAATCCCGAGGGAAGGGGGGTAAGGGTGTTGGTCCACACCCCTTTGGTAGGAAGACCACCTCGATGCTAATGTTTGATTTTAACCAGCCACATACGTGCTACTGGCCTCGCGGGAGACCGAGGTGTGTCAATTCTGCTCAAGGTACTAATAACGCACCCATGTGAACGGTGCTAATTTCAGCAGGGTGAAAATTACACAAGCAAAGGCTGTCCACGGAGTTCGTTTCAAGGCGGAAATATCTCTGGGGAAGCAGATAAGGAGCCCAGCCAAGCGTTCGATGAATATTCATGAAAAGAATGCGGTTTGCAGCCGGGCATTGTGTGTGCGATCCGATCCAGGGATTCTGCAATTTATATTTTTCGGAGCGGGGGCGGGGGGAGGGGGAGGAACAGAAACCTGGCGTCGGGTTTCATAGTTTGTGCTTTAGGCAAAACCTGCTAAACCCCAAACCTTCGCTCGCAGCGGGGCTGGGTCGTTAGGGGGCCGCGCGTAGTCAGGTTCAAGCTCACACACACCCTCTGGGCTGGGGCCGCGAGTGGAAGCGCCTGGTGCGTTCTCTGAACCGAAGACTCCAAAAAAATGAAATGCTCAGAGGTGGCCCACAGGTTAGTGGGGAAGCAATTCAGCCACGTCCGAGGCTGAGGCTTTGATCCGCTTGTATGTGCTTCTTGGAGGCACGTTGTCGTGTGAACCTCGCATTCCTTGGCCACCCCAAATCAAGATTCATGAGTCCCACCGGTCAAGGAAATTCATTTGCTAACCCCCAAAGTCACCTCCTTCCTCTGATCAGACCAGATTCCCCATATTCTCTCTCCCCTTACTCCCGCCCCACCCCACCCCCACCCTCCATCTTTTACTGCTGAGCCCCTCGCACCAAATGCTTTCTTCCCGGCTGTGGAAGGTTCCGATGACAGATACGCTCCCTTCAGGCCCACAAAGCCGCTCTTCGGGCCTCAGTGCGCTTAAAAGCTTTCGCATTCGGCAGTTTATTCAACTAGCAGCTCCTCTCCCGCTACCCACCACCCGCTCCAACTCCGTTTATCAGACTCGACATCCCCCGCATCCTCCCCACCCTGCGAGTGGCTGAAGCCTCCCACCTCGCCGCCCCCATCACCCCAGATCCCCGAAGTGCGATGGAGCCCTCGTGGGGAGACCCCACGCCCTGCGTCGTCTAATCCGGCCCTGCATCACCACCACTCACCCACCCCGGCTGCAGCGCGGACTGAGAAAGAAGGGCCTGGGGAGCAGGGCGCTGTGCGGTAGGGAAACGGAGGCCCCCAACGCTGCCGGCGCCCCTGCTCGGCGCTGGCGACGGGGCCACCCGGACGCGCCTCCTTACCGGCTCTGGGTGCCTGCGCCGCCCCTGGGTGAATGCGGTGCCGCCGACGGGCCCGGGTCCCTGGCGTCGTCCGGCTAAGTATCTGGCCGCTGACAGAGACTCTTTCTCCGGCTCGACGGCGGAGCCCGGAGCGAGGAGCTAGTTGGAGCGCTGCCGCTACTGCCGCCGCCGCTGCAGCCTCTGCATTTCTTGCTCTCGCGCTCCCCCTCCCCTTCCTGCCCAGCACCTCCCCCGCCGCGTCCGCCCGCCCAGCCTCCCGCTCCGCCACCCCGCCCGCCTCCCTCCTCCTTTCCCTCCATAACGGGGCCCCGCCCGCCTCCCCTCAACTCCGCTCCATCTCGGTGCGCTCCTTAAGTCCCCTCCCCTCCGCCCTAACCCCCCACCTCTTTTCTCCATCCCGGTGGTCCCCCCTTTCTTCCTTCTGCTTCTCTTTATCTGCTCTCTATGCGGGTTTCCCACTCCCCACCACCCTCCATTCTAGGGTCCCTGCCCCCATGCTTCCCCTCCCACGCTGCTCCAGGACTGTCTGTGGGTGGGTCTCTCTCTCTCTCTCTCTCTCTCTCTCTCTCTCTCTCTCTCTCTCTCTCTCTCTCTCTCTCTCTCTCATTCTTCCTCTCATTTGGATCGGTTGGTTAGATGTGCTCCGGCTCACGCTCAGACTTAAGGGGCTGGCTAGAGGTGATGATGAAGGACGCCCCCTACCACCTGCTACCTTTCTCAGCACCCCAATCCCGTACGCTCGCGACATCGGCTGAGATTCCTATGCCCAGGTCAGCAGTGAGGTTGGGAGTGACCTGGTGGCTTCCCCTCAGGCTCTAACGATGGATGTCCGCGGGGTGGAAGTGGCCCCCAACAGCTGGCACTTCTGGGAGGCGCCCCGAGGACCTCGCGCGCTGGGTGGGCGGCTCCCGCGCGCGCTCGGTGGAACCAGGATGGCTGCGGCTTCGGACAAGCGCTACGGCTTAAGTCCAGCTGGCCGGGCGGGCAGTGTCGCCCTGCGGGGATGCTCTCGGGAATTGAGAGAGAAAGGAAAAACAAGAACCCGAGGAAAGGACCCGTCGGGTTTGTGTCTGTGTGTGTGATTTAATGGAAGCAGCCAGTTCTCGGGAACACTGAGTTAACCGGGGCTACCCGTGTTGAAGCGCACAAGTCAAAGCCCGGGCCGGCTTCAGCGTGTCGGGGAGTCCTGGGGACTGCCACTTTTTTGAACACCGGGACACAAAATAACCACCAGGGTAGGGAGATATGCTCACCTTGCTTATCCGTTGGCAAGAGGCAAGTGCAAAAGAGAACGTAACAGAATATCGCTTACAACGCTAGTTCTTTCCTTAGACAAAAGCGAAGGTTACCTTCCCGCAAAACCCTGGTGAACCTTTGGAACTTTTATTTGCGGCATTTTGGCGCCCTCTGGCTGTGTGATTGAATTGCTTTCATGCTCGCCTATACCCATCCCATCAAAAAAATTAGTTGCCCGTTTTCTTCCAGAGTGGATCTGCCCTCTTCACCTGGGTGTCCATTGGATTCCGGGCCAAGGTTTCCCTGCAAAATCGGGATGACAAAGTGTAACCACATTTAGGGCGACAGATGCTAAAGGCAACTGCATCGCATTCAACTGGGAAAAGGTAAGTCTATTTTTGATTAACAGGAAAAAAACTTATCCGAACTTAAATTAGATGACGTGGCTACGTCAACCCGGTGCTACGCCAAAGGTTTTGCAATGGAAATACTCGTTTTTGAAACTGATCAGGTATTTAGAGCCTACATGTGACCTCACCATTTTAACCAAAGGGCAGTAAGAAAAAAAAGTAGGGATTTTGTGGGTTTGTTTTTCTCTTTTTTCTCTCTCTCTATGCTATTTAAATGAATAACAAATAAATAGAATACAAAAACAGGAACGCAAATTACAACTACGATTGCCTCCAAAACAACTTTATTTCTTTGCATTCAAGTATTTATTCAATAATTTAATATGTTCAGTATGTGTCCCTCATTCCAGCACACCATCTGTGAGGCTAGATGCACGGTGTTTCAACCTCCTGTTTCGGGTTGATAATTTTCTGTCGATGGGGGGCTGTCCTGTGCACTCTGTGATGGTCAGCATCATTTCTGGTCTCTGCCCACTAGTTAGCAGTAAAACACATTCACACACACACCACCACCACCACATACTTTCCACTAGTGGTGACAACCAAAAATGTCTCCTAACATTGCCAAGAGTCCCCTAAGAGACAAAAATCACCCCATTGAAAAATACGGAGCTATAAAATTTTAAACCACTGTGAGCGAGTCTCTAAGTTTTGACCCTGTCAAGTTAGATGAGCATTTGCAATTTTATACCCGACATTCATTGAGTGTATTTGTTAGGGTATCAGAGTAGTTAGTTTTTTCATTTAGCATTCAGTTTTTTAGCCCTCAGACCTTCCAGGCATGTAAATCATCTCAAAATTAGTAAGTGTATGGTCTTACTGTGTTTGTATAATAAGCCTGTGGATGTTATGGTCTGTTTTCTCCTGTTCCAATTTTTTTCAAAGGAAAAAGGACATATAAAAATTAATGTTCAGTACCTTCAGTGCTTCTGGCTAAATTTTCATGATAAAGAAAACAAGGTGTGATTGGAATACAGATCACGGGTTGCCATAGAAATGAGAGGCAAAATCTTACACCAGTCAGGCTTTGGGTTGCCTCAGTTTTGTCTGTCATCAGATGTAGTTGTTCTCTTAAGAGATGTTTAAGACGTTACTTTTTAATGAAATAATGATGTAACTGGCTGACAGTGCTATTAACCTAAAGAGTGGAAGCTTTTCCAGAATTTATAAACATGTATCAAATGGTAGCCAAAATACTACATTTCTGTACACCACTAATAATGTCCAATTTGGTGATATTTTTAGTTGTTCCATCCAACATCTTTTGAAACAGAAACTTAAGGAATCAATGACTCAGTATCTGAAGCTCTGGAGTCTAGAAAACTGTTAACGTTAACTATTGTGCAGGTCACTAGCTATTTAGATTATAGACTAGTGGACTTGGGAACCTACTTTAAAGGTGCAAATTTAATTACTTTTCCACATTACATCATCAAAATAAAACCTGTTACTCTTCAAATGAACTACATGTATTTTTATTCCTGGGTTGTAAAACAAATTCCATTGTCATTTTCAACTACTTACATAATCTGCTTCAGTGAATCAAACCTGCATTATGAAAGTACTTATTGAAAGGATACATTATTCAGTGACCACTGTTTTTGCTATAGTATTTGCAATAGAACTGTTTGCAATATCATCCCCTGAATTACCCCTCAGTTTACAACACGTCGGCCTGTGTTCACCTTTTCGAATAGTCCACCGAGGGCCCACGATGATTCCACAGAGCTCATCTCACCTCCAGAGCTCACCCACCACCCCCCTCTCTTTCCTGAGGCCTGGCCTCTTCCTCAGTTCCAAGTCCTGTCCTCCCAGACAGAAGAAAGAGGATGAAAGTCCCAAATAAGAGATGTAGACCAACATGAGTGAAGCAAAAGGACGGTGACAGCAGTGTCACCCCAGTGTTGCCACAGCTGCCTTTGCTTGACATTGTTTTGGTAGTTCCTATTTAAGGCGGCGGAATTAACGTGAACCCTCTGAGACCCACATAGAGAATCTGGTAAGTTTAGCTCGGCTGGTAAGTTTTAGTGAGAGGACTGAGTTGCTGTGATTTGTTGACAAGGCTTCATCTACAAATTGCAAGTTCAAGACCAGGCAGCCAGTATTATATATGAAAATGTACATCTTTTTTCTCTAAATATATTTATTATTTTTAATCAAAGGTAAGTCATGAAATCTGTATGGTATTTATTTCATTTTTCTCCCTACCACCCCCATATTACTACAACCTCACCATTCACATAGCCAAGTAAAAAGACTTCCTCAGTTCCACTCAGTGGTTCTCAAGCTGGGGCTCCTTTGCACCCCAGAGGATATTGGAGATACCCGGGGGCATTTGGGGAGAAGGGAGTGTAAGGAGGCAAAGTACTGCTGGCATCTGATGGGTAACAATCAGGGTTGCTACTGAACACCCTGCAATGCACCGGAATAGCCCCAGAACAGACAATTATCCAGAGTCCAAAATGTCAATATACTATGCAGCCCAAAATGCAAAGTGAGTTTGGGAAACCTTGGTTTCCAATCACATGAAGTTGGAAAACACCTGATTTTTGTTAGGAGCCCGCGCTGCAAGGGGAACTGCCTCTCGCCGTGGTTCAGGGTATCTTGAGCAGGCAGCAGGCTTGGAGGTACAAAGATTGAGCAGAGTTCTCCTTCCGGCAGGGGCTTGCGATGCACCCTGAGCCTGTCACTGACTACCTTCCTCGACTGCAGCACAAATCCAGGCAGTCACCTCAAGAGCAGTGCCGAAGACCAACATCAGGGACCTTGAGTTCCCCTCTCTTGTTACTACTACATGCTGAGCAACTGGAAGAAAACAGCTTGACTTGGTTCCTTATTTCACTTCCCTCCTGTACTGTAAAAGGATAGCCGGGAAACCTGAGCAAACACGTGTTTGCTACCAGGCGTTGGACTTGAACTGGAAGGAGCAACCTGGCCTTGGCACGACACTAGGAACGTTTTTGCCCCAGATAAAAGGTGAATAAAAAGCAATCCCATACTCTACCTGAATAGTTACTTCCAGCTCTCTTCTCCCTGTCATCAACTGTAATTTCCCTACCTAGGCTTTCAGTCCCAAAGGACTTTTTCTACTCTCTAGTATTATCTATTAAGAAAACACACAAAACCCATGATAAAAGGGCATTCGCCCCACTAACCAGCAAGGGCTTTTTCCAAGCAGCGCCTACCTGTTTCTACAGACGCAGGGCAGGGGATTAGAGCAGAGGACTTCAATGTTGGGAAAACAGGCCTTAATTCTTTGGCGGCCCTTGCCCTGTAATCAGCCGTTAAACCCTTTGGAGAACAAGTTACTTCACAACGGCACCAGGAATGCTGCAGAACAATCACTCACGTGGCTCTGCTCTTGAATCCATGAGACTGCAGAGGTTCCAGTGCTCGATAGCACCGTCTCGCCCCACTCCTTGCTGCCGCCAGATTCTTCTCTCGGATCAGCCCTTACTGGTAATTAAAATGTTTTTACCTTAACCCCAATGCGGAGAATGGTGTCCAAAATAAATCGGTTAAGTGCACAAGCAAGTTGCCAAAAGGAATGCAGAGAATGCACGTTGTTGCTATGAATTAATTTGGGGTGCTGTGTCCCCAACTTCTCCAAGTGCAAATGCAGTCCAAATTCCAGCATCTGCTTCACTCTGTCTGGGCACAGGCCCCTCAGCACGCACAGACGCTATAGCCCGATTGCGTCCCATGCCCAGGAATCTCCTCAGGTAAGCTCAACTCAACGTCAGAAAGAAAGACCTCTCTCCAAACCAAAAAAAGTAAGACAGTAAGAAACGAGAGAGCCAGACTTAAAGCGTATTGAGGAAAAAGCTGGCATAAACAGTTGAGGATATCTTCAAAAAAAATAAGCAAAACAGCTATTGTGTCAGTAGTTCTAAGGGACACCCAATAGCATCTGTGAAAATGTGTCGCAGTGAGGGACCATGAAATTTGACACAGGAAGAAAATCATGGGTCTTGTCACTGTTCCTGGAGGACTTGGAAGAACAACAAAAGCAATTTCATTGTAACTAGAGTAGTCATTTGATCAAAATCCAACACAAGGAAAGCTGTCAAAACAACCTCGTAGGTACCTAAAGCAAGTTGCTGAACAGGAAGTATAACATTGCCCTATTAGGCTCCAAATCGATACACCGGAGAACGATTGCAGGATTTTAGCCAAAACTGTCCCCTCATCACTCTGGCTGAGAACTTGGGTGGTTTCAGAGGTGGGGTGGAGGTTGCTCGGCTTTCCAGCACCATCTTACACAGTTCCATGTGGAATGAATGTTTTTGCAATGACCATTCATTACCTTGGGAACCGCATAGGATTTTGTGTGTTGTTTAAGAGATTGGCCCCAGGCTGAGAAATCATTTCTCAGAAAGCACCTTCTCATGAGCTCCCCTGCACTCTGTATTTGAACTCTGCATTCTGTTTCTTGCATTCTTCTGCTTCTTCACCTTTAAATCAGTGGCTCAGTTCAGATGAAGAATGTGGCCCTAGCCCTGACATCCCTGGGGTGTCCCACTCTCCTTCACCTCTAATGCAAGAGACCTCCCCCACCCCCAGCTTTTGAGGTGATGGCAGGAGCAAGGAGACTTTCACCTATACCTAGCACCGACTGTGCCATCCATATATTAACTTCCTTTTTGCACTGGTGGACCCGTAATCAACACAAAGTTCTATTTGCTGTGTAACATGAGTTTTCATGTCTGTCTCCATCTATCTGAATGACCTAACATACACAACACTGCTGCCGAATCAAAATCACTTAAGTATTTTATCCCATTGAAGGCCAATTATCTTCCTTTCTCATTTTTTTTACTTCTAATCATGCTGCTGTGACAGCTTTAAACACATAGTTCTCATCTTTTAAAATAGTCCCTCAGTTTAAGAGTCTAGCAATGGGATCTGCCAACCATCCTGCTGATTTTTATGGGGTTTTGTCTTCCAATGAGATTTAAAAGTCCTGTGTAACCAACAAATAATTTAAGAGAACCCGTTTCCCCAGCGCTCCAACACCAATACACTTCATAACTTTCCATGGGTGCAAAATGGCTTTAAGTTGCATATGTTTAATTACCAACAAGAATTGGCTTTGTTTCTCCAATAGCGCTTCACTGTTTGGGTTTCATCTGGGGAAACTGATGCTCTTCTGACAGTTTCCTTCGACACCTGACACCTGTTGAACTTCCTCGACCTGTGACAGGCGGGGATGCGCATCCGAGAGGCGGAGCTGACGAGTTCGGTGTTTTAGCTTCCATCGGTTTCAAGTCCTGACTTGGCCCCCACTCTCCAGCTTTTTGATTCTGAACACAATTCTTTGTGGTTTTTTGAGCCTCAGCCTCTTTCATCTGGAATATGGAAAAATTCCAACCACACTGGGTTGCTCTGAGGATTCTGTGGGAAAATGTATTTAAAGCCCTTAGCTAATTCATGAGACACATTCAGAAAATGCATCCTAAATAGCCTGGCTTTATAGCACCACCGATAGGACCATTAAGGAAAAGATAAAATAAGAGTTAAGCACTGTTTCAGGGATTACGGGAGGGCCTAGATAGCAGTAATGAAAAATCTGAAGTATATAGCTACATTTGCACAAGGATTTTAGCTCTAAGCTTCCTGGCAGCCAAAAGAAGAAATTAAAATATTATGGACTATTAATTTTGCTAATAAAAGCAAACATTTTCAGTGTGTTGGGAGAGACAAATCTTCCTACCAATCAACTTTAAGGAGAGGAATGTGTTGCTCTATCCCTTTATATGTAAAGAATATGAAATTTCATAAAGGACAACATTTCAATAATGATTTTACTGGAGATAAAGAAATGTTCTCTCAAGGCCATTTATTTTATCCACCTGCAAACTACAGAAACCATCATCTTATAATGCTGCTAAATAATTGTTACCAAAAGGTAAAAATCACGTGGCGCAGACAAGCGACTTTGGCTGGAGCGTGCAGGAAGATTCCCCGTGGACAGAGGGTGCAGGGGAGAAGCAAGAAGCCCCTCCTTGGACTGGGCAGAATGTCCTTTAGGGGAGTGAGGTGTGTTCAAACGTGCCCCACCCCCAGGCTCTGAAGCTGCCTTCCCCCTAAGTCTCCAGCAGAGGAGCTCCACCTGGGGACCCCTGACTGCCGGGGACGCAGGGGAGGCCGCCACGCCCTTCTTCGCCCCCCTCCTTGAGCTTCTTTTCCTAAATGCCTGACGCTTTGGTGTGAACTTGAAACAAACAGTGCAGTGCAAAACCTGACTTCTTCAGTATTGTGTTGACAGAAAAATAGTAAGAAATATTTGTATTTAAGGTTCTATTCTTCTTCTTTTAAACTCACCATAACTTGTGTTTCAGCCCAAGTAACTCGGGTTTCCCCATTTCTGCCTAAAGGGGCACCATGGGGGTCTGGCAGTGGGCACCCCATGTCTTGTTGGCAGCTGCCTAAAAGCAACGCGAGGGCCTGCAGATTGCCAACTGGAAGTCCCAGAAAACAGAAGAGAGAAGAGCTGACCTTTATGGGAACAGGGACTTTTCGCCCACAGGCAGCATAGGGAAGATGGGCACACACTTGGGTAAGATATTAGGTTAACAGGTTGTGAAAGTGGACCACGTTTCCAAAGTTCAACTTATATACACAAGTCCTTATGCTATGCACTGTAAGCTCCAGGAGGCTGGGCATTCTTGTCCCTTTCATTCCAGTGTTGGGTACACATTAGCAGCTTAAAACATATTTATGGAAGACAAAGTACAGAGCACTAGTTTTGCCAAGTCTGATTTTACAAATAACCACTAGGTGGCAGGCTCGTTTAAGAAAACAGTGTCAACCTTATTAGCTAATTTGTAAGGTGCAATAAATTCTAAGTACAGAGAAGTGACTAATAATCTGATAAACTAGAAAATGAATTCATTATAGCAGTGGGATTTATATGTACTTACTTGTCTTCTGGCAGACAAGACTTTATGCAACCAGGAGAAAGGGGGAAAAATGCAGACTAGCTAGATACCCATGAGCTTGAGATACAGTTCTAATGATGTGAAATTACTTCTTAAAATTATCTCCCCTTTAAAGTAAATAATAAGTAAGTAAGTAAGTAAGTAAATAAATAAATAAATAAATAACTCTATCAAGTTAAATTTGGTAACCAAAACAAAAGTCTCCCCTGAAAACAGTCACACTCACCACCCCTGAGCTGTGTTCACGTTTGGCAGGTTTCAGAGTCTCATGGTGAATGTGAAACACAAGCGAATCCCCGGAGTAAAACAGGATGTTTTTTAAGACCACCTGAACCTGAATTTCATTTGTATAAATAACCTTAAACTGGTCCTTTTGTAAGGCATTCTCTCAGTGCTGTTCCTCATAAGATAGTATCTTACTGGGTTTTTTTTAACTGCACCCTGAAATAATAACATACAGGTGAAAATTAATTCTTTCTTTTTTGAAAAAGAGGCGTACAGAGTTTGATTCTAACATTTCTGTGTACTTAAGTCCTTGACACTGTGGTTTGGTTTGGTTTGGTTTTTGCTGGTTTTGCTTTGTTTATGGTTGGTTGTATTATTCAAATTATCTGCTGCCCTCTCCGGTGGAGGATTGTGCTTCCCCGCTTGCGGATGCCGGGCTGGCTTGCGGATGCCGGGCTGGCTGCATGATTTGAAAGGACCCTCCTTGAAATAGAATAAAACCTTCCTGGCTCATTGTGGTGAGGAGCAGCCAGCCACGTGACTGGCTTTACCCATGGAATCAAAGAAAGAAATGACATGCATCACTTCTCAACAGAAGTTTTAAGAGCCAGCTCATGGCTCCCCATGTCTCCTGTCCCTTCACCTGAGACCACCAGTTCCCACCCGGGTACCGCTCCACCTCCTAAGTCCCCTGTGGTGACTTGTCACCAGCAGCCCATGACAGACATGTCACATGAGGGAGGAATAAGTGTGTCTTGTCATTAGCCTCTGAGATCTGGGCGCTGTTTTTTATGGCAGCCTAACTTACTCAGTCTAGGTTGACTGGCAATACCGTAGAGTGGTGGTTAGAAAAATAAGTGAACTAATACTTATAAAATACTTAGCCCCATGGGTGGTATGTATAAAGCAACAGAAAGTGTCAAGTTATTCATGTCCTGGATCAT